CAAATAAAAAATAACCCCCCCCCAAAAAAAAAAAAAAAAAAAAGAAGAACGAGGAAGATGAACTAGAAGAGAACAGCAGCGCCATAGCAGAACCAAACCAGTTCCAACAGTTCGGCAAAGCCCAGCACGGGCGGCCACCCCCTTGGCGGCTTGGCCGGGTGTTGGGTCTGCCACTGATTATGGCCCTTCAAAATTAAATGTATCCAAATTGGTCCCTTAACTCATAACTACTTTTCTAAGTGTTTATTTAGTCACCAAAATTTATGAAAATTCCAATTAGCTTTTCAAATCCATCCAATCGAGTCCAAATACTTTTGATCCTTCATCTAAACCATTCTTTGTTCAATTAATGCTCCAAATCACTCCATTTTGCTTTGTTTACCTTCAAATCGAGAATTTAGCCTACAAAAGTCAAATAAAACACAAGGTGAATAAAAATCCACTCAAATAATCAACTTCTGAATAATTTAAGTACCTAGATAAACGTATAAAATAGACTTATTAGGGATCAAGCCCATTCTATAAACCAAATCTATTCGGAATCCTAACAAAGATTGGGACATACTGTGTTACATTAGAAATGTCTTCAGTAGGTTGAGATGCATTAACTAAGTGGGTGAATGAATAGAAGCCGACCTCGGAGATTACATATATTGCAAAGTGATAACTTTCCTCAACGAAATCATTTAGACTAACTTGACGTATATTGCTAAAGGATATAAATACCCATAGGATTTAATTTGATGAAGCTAATAATAATTAAAAACAACCAAACAAAAAAAAAAAAGAGGAATTCCCATCCAAGTTCCAACAACGAGTCAACGACCAACTCTAATAGAGTCACTCTTCAACCTCAAATGACCGCTCATGAATCATGTTTTGTCCAGTGGAGTCAGGGACGGATCCAGGACATGATAACAAGCCGGACTAATACGTAAAAATAAAAAAAATTACCCAAGAAATTTTTTTTTCCTACTAAAAAAAAATGAATGGGTTGGACCGGGCCATGCCAAATCCGTCCCTGAGTGGAGTAATTGTGTAAGCCCGATCCAGCCCCCCGCTAGATCAGTCCCTGAGTGGAGTAATTGTGAACCCCGTGGCTATTAACAAACGCCAGAGGTGCGAGACTTAAGAATATGATATCGTTACTTATATCCTAACCAATCGGTATGTTAGATGGTCAGGGAGAAAGAATTGACCTCCATTGTAAAACCCCTTCCGCATCTTTCGAAAATAGCAACTATCGAATGAACAAAAGAAGTAACCATTCCCACTTTGGCAACCTCAAGACCACCAACTATATATATAGGTAGGGAAGCCCATTCTATAAGCCAACTCAATAGAGAATCCTAATACCTGATTGGAACGTGTAGCGTTATGATAGAAATGTCTTCAATAGGTTGAGATGCACGATGAATGAATAATGGTTGACCTATGAGATTGTGTATAAAGAAAAGGGTCAACTTTCTCTTAGGATGGAAGAATACTGGGAGCCTCACCAAAGAAGAAGAAAGTAACTTTTAAGTGATAAACGAGCACAATTATGGTTTGATGTCTCGTTTTTTAACGAAATAGAGTTTCTATTATTGAAGGCACTTGAGAATGCTCTATTGCCAGATGCTCAATATTTATATATAAGATTTTGCTATTTATACATCACTTTTTACCACATTGTTGATAGAAAAGTGTGTTAACTAAACTTCATCGGATGAAAAAATAGTTTGTTTTAAAATTGTTCAATGACAGAATATCCACTGCATTTTATCAAATACGCTATCAAATAAAATATACACCAAGCATGGCTGTTATATATAAGCAAAGCTAGTAAGAATATCCACTACATTTTATCAAAGAAGCTGTCAAAAAAAATATACACCGAGCATGGTTGTTATATATAAACTTTACTATGCATTGTGTCCAAACAGTGAAGTATTCCCTGATTATCAATGGAGAGCCGCAAAGTCAGTTTCAACCTACAAGAGGCTTAAGGCAAGGGGATCCGTTATCCCCTTACCTTTTCATTCTTTGTTGAGAAGTCCTTGGAAACTTATTGGATAAAGTGGAGGCGAAAGGGCTCATTTCTGGATTTCCATTTGCAAGAGGCAATCTTTTAGTTAACCATTTATTTTTTGCAGATGATAGTTTGATTTTCTACAATGCAAATGTTCAGGAATGGTGGCGGCTCACCAACCTATTGCACTCATTTGAAAATGCAATAGGACAACGGCTAAATATGGACAAGACCTCTATTTATTTTAACGACAACACAATGCCGGAGATCAAGAGCACAGTACTACACCCAGCCAAAGTTAGAAAGGTGGAAATTCTTTGAAAAATATTTGGGCTTGCCGGCTTATGTCGGAAGGAGTAAAATGGCAGCGTTTAAACAGGTGCTTGACTTGATTAAAAGAAGAATGAATAACTGGAAAGTGAAATTTATTTCTCAAGCAGGTAAAAAAGTTCTTATCAAGGCCATAATCCAAGTTTTACCAACGTACTGTATGAGTATTTTTAGTTGCCAAAAACCATTCTCCAAGCAATAAATCGGCAAGTTAAAAAAATTTGGTAGGGTAGTTGAGGAGATAAAACAAAGACGCAATGGCTCTCATAGAACTTGTTGAGGAAATATAAAAATGTTGGTGGGCTTGGTTACAAAGATTTTGAGCTTTTCAACGTAGCAATACTGTCGAAGCAGGGTTGGCAACTTATTCAAAATCTAGTCTCATTGGCTTCGAAGGTGCTAAGCAAAATATTATAGCAGAACAGATTTTTTGAATAGCAAAATTCGAAGCAACGAATCTTATCTTTGGGGGAGTTTTTTAGAAGCCAAAGAAGTGTTGAGAGATGGATTATTTATAGGGAACAGGGAATCAGTGATTATTGGCAAGGATAAATGGATCCCCCAAACTTTTCAAGTACAATCTCCCTTATATGACCGTTATAAGAATGGAAGAGTGAGTGAGCTAATAAATGCAGAAACGAGTACATGGAACATGGATTTAGTATTTGATATTTTTTCTGAGTCGGAAGCTACTCTCATAAACAAGATCCCAATTAGTTTATGTGGTAGTCCGGACAAGCTCATATGGAGGGGCACGGAGGATGGTAAATTTACAGTCCAAATCGCTTATCATTTTCTCTGTCAGTTGAAGCAAGAGTCATCGGGTGAATGTTCAACCAATAATTTTCAAAATGATGTGTGGAGTAAAATTTGGAGTATTAAGGCCCCAAAAGCTAGTAAAATGCTATTGTGACGTGCGACTCATGATTCATTACCTACTAATTTGAACCTAGACAGAAGAAAAATAAGGAAGTCCCCATTATGTACGGTTTGTAAATTGGAAGTGGAGTCTGTAGTACATGTGTTGTGGTCGTGTGCTTCTTCCCAAGATGCATGGGGTTCAAGCTTACGGAAACTGTAGAAAATGTCGTTTATGCCGCTCCATTTCAAATAACTGGTGTGCCATTTGTTTAATGTCAGAGGAAGAAAATGAGGTTTTCATTGCTATAATTTATTTGATCCGGAAGAGGCGGAACTCCCTCGTGTTTGAGAATAAATTCGATAGCCCAGTAAAAGTATCAAATGTGGCTCGACATAATGCATTGGAATACAGAGAGGTGAATTCCCAACCGGTTAGGCCCAGAAACAGAGTCCAATTTTCCCAGCCATGGTCTGCACTCTCTCAGAATAAGTACAAAATCAACTGGGATACAGCGGTAGACTCGATTAATTGTCGAGTTGGAATTGGTGTTGTTGTGAGAGACTGGACTGGAAATGTTAAAGCATCGTTGATGTCCTAAATAAATGTTTTCCCGAAAGCATTTTTGAGAGTATGCTTGATTTTTGGAAGTCGTGTTACTATGTAAACATCTTGAGAGTATGCTTGATTTTTTCAATCCTGATCTGTAAGTCATGTACCTAGAAATGTTAATGTAGTCGCTCATACATTAGCAAAGGAAGCATTCAAATTCTTTGAGGAGAGAATAATGTTGGAGGAAATTCATTCTTGTATTCGAAACTTGCTATTTTGAAGATGAATGAAATGTTTTTCACCTAAAAAATAATAAAATAAAATAAAATATCAAGCAAAACGAAGGATATTCCTGTCGAAGTTCCATCTGCTATCAACTCCAATAGGGTTACGTGTCAAACCTCAAATGACCACTTATGAATCATATTTTGTCTCCAATCCCACAGCCATATAAAAAATTGGATAAAATCTTGCAAACTTCCACTCTCTTAGCTCCCAGATGAACATATAAATCACCACAAGAAATCTCTAACCCACCTCCACAGACCCACAAATTTTCCACATAATTCACCACTATCAATCGCCATGACCACCTCTTCAGCCTTCTTTTCTTCTCTCCTCAACATACCCACCTCCAAAATCCCAAACATGGACACCCCTCTTGCCAAAATCAAATACCCTTCAAGAAGAAGGACATCTTTCACCCATTTCCACCCCATAAGATCTGCCCCAGATTCGGTTTCCATTATAGATAATCTACCGGCTGCTACCTCGTCATCGGCCCCAAGCAGTTCGGCTACAACGACGAATTCTGTAATTCTTGACGATGATAGCGTTAATGATGACGAGGTGAAAAAAGGCGAGTCGAGAGTTGGGGTTAAGGTCAGAGTTAAGGTGCCACTGAAGGTTTACCATGTGCCTAAATTGCCCGAATACGAGTTGACGGGAAAGGTGGGTGTAGTGAAGCAGTATGTTGGGATTCATAAGGGGAAAAAGATTTCAGCTAATTTGCCATATAAAGTAGAATTCGTGGCGGATGAGGTATTGGGGCGTGATGGGAAGCCGGTGAAATTCTTGGCACACCTGAGGGATGATGAGTTTGAGTTTCTTGACTGATCTTATGGTTCGCTTGATTAAATTTCTATTCCTTTTCATCGAATATTGACTTGCCACTGAGTGACTTGTTATAATAATTTTGTGTACAAGTGTTATATGTTTACAACATTGTAGATAATTTACTATTTTGAGATCATGTTTTTGGTCTACTTGATGAATTTCCTTTCAAGAAAATGTTTTTGCTTTGTGTGTATAATTGTATTCATGCCTTGCGCCATTCCCAAGTCGATGGAAATTGCTATTTTTAATAATGTATCTGGAGTTCTACAAGTAAGTAGAATTGATATTAATGAAGATTTAACTTGGATTGGCTTAGTGCAGGTAGAGAGTAGGCCTCCCAACCCCACGAGTGAGCACATTAGTTTGCACTTCATTATTTCGTTAGACATGTTTAGAGGATGCTCAAGCGCGTGGCTAAGTTTTGACGTGGAAATATGATGCTCCATTTTTGTGCTTTCTCAGTAAAATTTAACTAAAGTTATCTGTTGTTGGGATGCTTGCTATTGCCATACAAGCTTTGTTACGTGCAGAATGTAGTGTAAACATTGAAACTCAAACTTGACATCAGTGAAAAGAGGCCAATGGATATGCTAGAAGCAATAAGCCAATGACTGACTGGAAGAGGGATTGCCTAAAGAACCTTTTGTCTTTGTAGTAACTAATAAGAGTAGCTGGGCTTTGTTGGTATAGAAGTTGCTAGCTATTTAGTTACAAGTTAAAGTTGCCAAATTAGCCACTCTGTCCTTCGCTTCTTCCTGTATCAAAGTATGTCATAGACTGGTACATTCAGATAAACCATGATTCTTAGATCTGCAGGTCAATATAATAAACTATAATTTCTGGATAAGAAATGGTAGAAAGTTATGCCTCTACCCCAAGACAAGTTGCTCATAAAGTTCCTTTTGCGATACAAATATATAGTTGGCCGTGTGTTTTTACCATTTTGGAGGCTTGCAACAGCAGTTTAAGCTAGTTCTTCACATGTACATTTCCTGTCAATTTTATTACTGCAAC